AAGGTTTCGTTAACATCAAGCCCCCGTTTCGAAAGGGACTCTGCGGTGGCGAGCATACTGTTGAGAGCATGTTGCGGATTCTCTGCCATCGGGATCTTCTTGGATGTCAGGGATTTTAACTCATCCGCAGGCTGCATGGACGATTCTGGGTCGTACAACCCCTTCAGCTCACGGAGCGCCCCCAGGGGCGACTCAGCTGGCTTCATTATTGTCCTGTCTAGCTCGTCCTTAAGAGCTCCACGGAGGAAATTCCACGCGTGGAAAGCGAGCTCTACTTTGTCGTGCGGGTAAAACCTGGACAGTTGGAGATGAAAAAGGACCATGTTTTGTCTATATCCGTCACGCGAGCCCCTCAGGCAAGTGAGCTCGTGGGCTCTTTCTCTCTCAAGCACCAGGGGTCTCCTCCTACCCCCCATACTCTTCATACCCATTCACGTACCCCCCATCAGGCGCATACAGCGCATTGCACGTAGATCGGATACTATCCAAAGTACCACAAACAGCCCCCCTACTTGATACGCCGTGCGATCTCCCAACCGATGCAGAAACGTTAGTATCCATTTGAAAAACATCCTCTACAAAAACCGATCACGCATTTAACACAAAGCGTCTCCATCAGTTTATTCACGAATCCAATACATTCGCCCCTAGACATAATCTCAAACTGTTGCCACAAAATAATCATTAATCGTCAAAATACGTCAAACCCTTCCCCCAAAATAGTGTCCAAGGACCAATCCCTAAACAGCGCGCAACCGCAAATCGATACCATCGCTGTTGTCCAAGAAACGGTAGAAAACAAAGCAAAAAACATCCATCCATGCATACAGCCCCCCTGCTGTTACATCCCAAAAAACGATCATCCCAACGATATATCTTCACGTGAACAGCCCCCCTGCTGAGACATATCCAAAAACATAGGAAAAACAACAAGATATCAATTGATGTGCATGCACTATATAATCATGGTCACACATGACATCCCACCTCATGATTGCAGATGCATAGTCTAGACAACAAGACCCCAAACAAACGCAAAAGAACGGCGACACCCTCGGCATTTTTCCGCCCCCCCCAGTTCTCTCCCGCTGCAGCAGCAGCAGACCAATCCTTTGATGAAGGCGGGTTTTATTTCGGGCGGCCCCATGGACCCTGGGCGGAACGCAGCGTGGCCGCAGCCGGAGTCCCCGATACCCCCGGGATCACCGATGTGCGCCGTGCACATATATATACGGTCGCTGCGGTCATGTCGGACATACGGCCATCGCCTGCCTGGCCCCTCCCCGCTTTCATGGTAGGTGTTCTGTTTGTGGGGAATTCGGTCACACCGCGCGAAACTGATACAACGATCGCGTCAACTCCAACTATCTGCAGCAGCCGCCGCGACAGCAGCCGGCTCCCCACGCGTCTCAGTTACCCCACCTGAACGCCGTCATGCCACAGCCGTACCAACCTTTCCGCCAGCAACCTTTCCCGCAGCAACCTCCTCCCCAGTAGTCCCATCTCAACAGAGCCCAGCACGAATATTCGGCAAGTTGTAGGGACGGGTCGATGGCGCAGCATTGGTCCGTATCGGCGCCTCTTCCACAACATTATCTCGCCGTGGCATATCCGGGTGGCACCGGCGGAGCTGTGCAGCCATGGCAAGCTTCTGGCGGCAGCGGCTATGGTGGCATGCCCCATCATCAGCTGCCCGAGCAGCGGGTTGGCTCGATTGGTGGGGAAGGTAGTGGGGGCAGGTTTTCTGTGGGTGATGGAAATCATCATCAGCAGCAGCAGCAGCAGCAGCCGCAGCAGGAAGGTCGCTCGTGGGGGGATGGCGGAGCTGCTGCCGGAGTGGTTACACAGGTCAGTGGCGGTGGGGGTGAATTCGTTGATGGAGTAGGGGGGGGTGGTCACGCCGGTTCGTTCGGCACCGGGGCGGCGGGAGATTCCCCCCCAATCGCTTTTCTGTCAACGTTTTCTGCCAACACCGTCACCCAGTAGCGTACCCGCCCGCCCCTGCCCCCATTTTGCTGTCGGCGTCGGGGCGTACCGACTGGTGGGTGGGTGATAGTGCCGCGACTACTCACAGCACCAACAGCACAGACTTCCTCCACAACATACGCTCGCCTACGGTAGCTGAACGGTACATCGATGTTGCCACCGGTGACCCTGCGGAAGTTCTTGGGTACGGTTCGCTGGACTTGGTGTTGCGTGGCGACCGCGGCGACGTTCTTATCACCCTGCACGACGTTGCTGTTGTCCCCCGCCTTGCGTATCACCTGATGTCATATAATGTCATGCAAGAGGCCTTTGATATCTCCGACGTCGGTTCTCGCATGCTAGATGGACGTTTTGAATTCCTCAAGACGAAGCATGGCAACTATGCGCAAGCCACCCGTGTGCCCCCCATCGTTCATGCCCGCAATGCTCACGTTGGCGCCGCTGGTCGCTGGGGTGCCGTCCATTTCGGTGGCGTTCACGGCGGCAGCGGCGGCAGTGGTGGTGGCGGCGACGGCGGTGGTAACAGCAACGGAGGCGGCTTCACCGACGTTGGGGGTGGCAGCGGCGACGGCGGCGGTGTTGTCAGGGACGGCGGTGGTGGTGTTGGGGACGGCTGCGGCAACTGGCGTAGCGGCGATGACGGCGGCGGTGGCAGCGGTGGTGGTGACGGTGGTCGCGGCTCGGCGTTGGCTCTCATGCGCCCAGGTATGCCGCTCACAATGGATGATAACGATCTCCATGTTGCGCTCGGCCATGCACATGACGACCTTATTCGCGAGACGGCACGACAGATGGGCATCAGGCCGACGGGGCAGAGGGTGTTTTGCGGGTGGTGCGCTGTCGGCAAGGGAATTCGCAAGGTTATCGCCCGGACTACCAGTTCTACCGCTGTTCGCCCCCTCCAGCTTTTCTTCGCCGATCTGGCGGGGCCGCTCCCGCGTTCGGCGGGCGGCTCCACCTACGTCTTGTGCATCGTCGACGACTGCACCAACTTCGGTGTTCTGAAGTTTCTCAAGGACAAGAGCGCCCCCGCCGTCTGCACAGCACTCCGCGAGTTCCTCGTCTCCCTGCAGGGTCTGCGCTCTACCCACGGCAACTTCCAGCTGCTTCGCACGGACAACGCGAGTTCCTGAACGAGCTTGTTGACGATGTCCTCCTCGAGTTCGGCATCACGCGGGAGCCGACCTCGCCGGATGGAGGCCAAAAGCGCGACGGCAAGGTGGAGCGACGGATCGGTCTCATCAGGGAAGGGGGGCGAGCGGCGGGGGGGGAGGCTGTGCACCTGTTCCCGACATCCACTTCCCCACGAAGGCCCTCACGTTCGACGCCATCTACCCGGAGGCCTTTGCGTGGATGTCTGACTGCATCAACGTTCTCGCGCGGCTTGACCAGAAACCGCACATGCGGTGCCCGTATGAACTGCTCTACGGCAAGCGTCCTCTCCGCGCCCTGCTGCCATTTCTTATGCCGGGTTTCATCATGACCGGCGCTCCTCCAAGCTCGAGATCAAAGCGGAACGCTGCGTCTATCTCAACAGCGGCGTCGGTCACTCGCGGGACTCTTATAAGGTCCTCTACTCCTCGGGCCTCGCGGGATACACCACGGATATTGTCTTCGGCTACAGCAGGCGCCCGCGCTTCACCGGTGTTGTGGCGACGTACGGCGGCGGCGCCGCGCGGGATCGGTGGGCAGACGGCGGCCTTGACAAGGGCATCGCAGTTGTTCGTGGCGGCGGGAGGCGATGGCGGCGGCGCCGGCGGCGGGGGGCACGGCAGCAGCGGGAGCATCAGCGTCGTCCCCGGTCGCCGCGTTGGCGCCGGGCCTTCCGATGGACGCAGCGGCGATGGAGGCGGCGCCGGCGGTGGGAGGTACGGCAGCAGCGGGAGAAGCGGCGTCGTCCCCGGTCGCCGCGTTAGCGCCGGACCCTCGGACGGACGTAGCGGCGATGGAGGCGGCACCGGCGGCGGGGGGAATGGTAGCGGCGGCAGCAGCAGCGCCGTCCCCGGTCGCCGTGTTGGCGTCCTACATTCGGACGACCGCAGCGGCGGTGGCAACGGCGGCGGGGTCGATGTCGACGTTGATGGAGGAGATGGCGACGCTCGTGGCGTGCACACTTGGGTCCGCGACCGCGATGTGCCCGACCGCAGCTTCGTCATCGACCCCAACAGGAGCGGCCCCGACCCGCGCCCCCCCGGCGCGCGTCACACATGCAGACCCAGCAGCAACGTCATTAGGTCACCCCCTCCGTCACGAGGCCATCCACGCGGCGCTTAGCTGCCGCTGGGCCTCTGCCGCGGTCACCGGGGGTGTTGGCGATGCTTGCAATGGCGGAAGACATCGACGCGCGAATGGACGATGAGCGGTGCTTTGGGGGTCCGGAGTTGCCGGATGAGCCTGCGAGCGAGCGCGTGACCCCGACCACGTGGGCGGAGGCGCACTCGGGCGAAGACAGCGACATCTGGTACAGCGCTGAGGACGCGGAGTTCACTGGACTTCTCGAGGCGGAGACTTTTGGGCCAGCGGTAGGATCGTAGCAGCCAGGGACGAACATCATTTCTGCCAAATGGGTGTACCTTTGGAAGTCCAACGAAGTCGGTGATGAGACGCGTGCAAAGGCCAGACTGCTAGCAAGAGGTTTGAGTCGGCGGGAAGGGGTTGACTATTTTGAGACTCGTTCGCCGTGCCCGTCTGTTACGAGTATTCGCGTTCTTGCCGCCATTGCTTGCCATCTTGGTTGGGATTTTGTGCACCTTGACGCTGAGCAGGCGTTCGTTCAATCCAAGCTGGAAGAGGACGTATACATTCGTTTGCCGAAAGGTTGTGGAACTCTCTCGGGTACAGTTGTCAAGCTTGCCCGTAACCTGTATGGTCTGAAGCAAGCGTCCCGCATGTGGCCTTACCATTTGCTCCGAGCAATGAAGCGCCTTGGGTTTGAGCAGTGTGCTGCTGATCCTTGTGTCATGCGTCTGATGGAGGATGGTGATGTGGTGACAATGGTGGTTGTTGTGCACGTCGACCACATTTTCTCGATCGGGACCAAGAGTAGGTGTGACCAATTTGGCAGAGACTTCAACGCTTTCGTCCCGATCAAGAACCTTGGGGAGCTGAGTTTGTACGCTGGTATTCGGTTTTCTCGTGATCGCGCGGGTGGCACGATTGATTACGTTGTCGCAGGAGACGTTTGCTAGGAACTTGGTAGAGAAGTTCGGTGTCACACGCAACAAGGAGAGTCCCATGGCAGTAAGATTGAAGCTTTAAGATTTTGACGATCGATGCAGAGCCTGATGTTCTCGAGCCTTTTCGGTCTTGGTAGGACACTTGATGTGGCTGGCGAATCAGACTCGCCCGGACACCCTCGACGCAGTGCGAGCTGTGGCGAGGTAGGCTCACGCCCCCAAGATGGTGCATTGGCGTGCGGCCTTGCATGTTTTGATGTATGTCCGGTTCACGGTCGGCCTTGGTATCACGTATCAGCGAGGAACGGATGGCGGTGTCTCGTTGGAACTTTTCGTTGACTCCGATTACGCGAGCAACGCGACGGACCGGCGGTCGGTTTCTGGTGCGGTTGTGATGTGTGCCGGGGCGTGTGTCTCGTTTTTGTCGCGAACACAGAAGAGTGTCACACTTTCTTCGACCGAAGCCGAGTATGTTGCGATGGGCGACGGTTTAAAGGAAGCGATTTTCTTGCGCTATATCTGGAGTTTTATCTTTCCGGATGATGAGCGCATCGGATGCACTAGAGTAAACGAGGATAACATGGGGGCCCTTCATTTGGCCAACAACCCGGTCACCACCCCCAACTCTAAGCACATAGATAGACATTCGACACCATTTCATTCGGGAGCGGGTGGCACGCAAGCAGTTTAAGGTGGTCCACGTTGCATCGGCTTTGCAGCACGCCGACTCTATGACCATACCACTGCACAGGGCGGCATTCTGCTTTCACCGTGATTTTGTGATGAACATCAAGTAATTTGCGGTTTCTTTTTTTTTCTTCTATTAGAGTTTTTATTGCGTTTGTTTTTTTCTTGCTGTCTATGCATCTGCAATCATAACGGGGGATGTCATGTGTGACCATGATCATAGAGTGCATGCACATCAATTGATATCTTGTTAGTGTGCACTGCCGCCCTCAGCGGTCTGTGGTGTTGAGACTGGGTGCGATGTATGTATGTATGTTATCCCAGGAACAGCAGATGAAAAAGGACCATGTATGATATATATCCGTCACGCAAGCCCCTCAGGCAAGTGAGCTCGTGGGCTCTTTCTCAAGCACCAGGGGTCTTCTCCTACCCCCCATACACTTCATAACCATTCACGTATCCCCCATCAGGCGCATACAGCGCATGTAGATCGGACACATATCCAAAGTAAAAGTACCACAAACAGGGTGCAAACACCAACCGATACCTCTCAGGAAAAAGCCCTCGACGAGATGTTTCCAAAACTACCCTTTTCGCCACTGGTACCCCCCCGGTTGTTGAGAAATACGCTACAAGAAAGCGCTAACACGGGGGTGCCATCTCTCCGACTCTTCTTACGGTTTGTAGTCTAGGCCAGAGGTTATTGTTGTTGTTGTTTGTTGTGTTCTTCACATTAAACTCGTGTCAGTTGCTAATCCCAAAATCTAGCAATTCACCGGTAGCCAGTTGGCTCACCCTGTGCGGACCTTGCAGGCAAATAGACCCTGTACGGACGCTGTGACACCCTGCCAAGGTAATCGGTCCCCACAAGGTAAGTCGGTCCGTACGATAGAGTAGCGGCGGGTATTAAAGGCCACCCGGGTATTAAAGGCCACTTTTTTTTAAAGGGGGGTATCTCCCCACAGAATCCACGGAGCCCCTTGGTTCTTTTTTTGAATTGCTCCGCGAAACCGTAGCTCTCGTTTGAGCACCACAGCGTGGCACGCCGAGCATTCCACCCCGAGATACAGCCGAGGGAGCCCCCACCGCTCCCGCTACTAGCCACCTTAGTCGTTTCCTTGGGATTTTTGCTAAGCATGACCCGGCGCAAGGTGGACGAGGAGCAGGTTCGGAAGGCCTGTGCAGCGATAGATGATGGAATGAATGTCGGTTAGGAAGGCTGCTGGGGTCTTTGGGGTAGGTCGTACGTCCATCGAAGACCGCCGCCGTGGCAAGGTGGCCATGAACGCGAAGGTTGGTGCCGAGACCATCCTGAGCAAAGAAGAGGAGGATTCGCTGGAAGATATTCTGCTGTTTGCTGCTCGCAACTTCTTGGCTGTGGGTCGGGTTCACCTCAGAGATGCGGTGCGACGACTCTGCAACGACGGTCGGCGGATCCCTTGGGATCCAGAGAAGGGTCCGGGGAAAGATTGGCTTGCGGGCTTCCGTCGTAGGCACCCACGGGTCGCGGAGCGCTCGACCCGCATCTACGAGGCAAACAGGATCACCGAAGACGAGGAGCCTCGCATGGTGCAGTTCTACGAGAGATGGGCAGCTCTCCTCGACGAGTTCAAACCGGAGGCCAACCACGTGCACAACACGGACGAGACAGGTGAAGATCCGTTCGTAGACGAGTC